GTAGATTGAATGTTCCCATTGCCCTATAAAGTTCTATCAACTCACTTAATCCTCCCAACACTAGGTAAATGTTAGGAGTCTTCATTTTATTTATGAGGAAACTGAGGCACAAAGAAGTTAAATAACTTTCTCAAGTTCACACCATTAGTAAGTAGGGTAGGAGAGACCCAAATGTAGACAGTCTGGGGCCATAGCCTTTGCTCAGCCACACATGATCCCGACTGATTAATGACAACAATAACAACACGTGACTTGCATTTACGTGGTTAGTGTTTACATAGTAACGCAGGCATTCTGTTCATCATCTTACTTACTCTATTTAGTCTTCTCTGCAGCCCAATGGTCTCAGGGCTGGACATGATTATTAGTCCCATTCTGTTTATATGAAATTGAAAGTGAGAAGATAAAAAGCTTGCAGAGTTAGGAATCTGGCAGAACTTGGGTATAAATCCATGTCGTTCTGACTCTGAAACATTTATCTTTAAGACTACATACACTGTGATCCCTGACAGAAGAGAGGGAAAAATAGAAACTTTTCTTTGGCTGGAATAGCTTCTTTATTTTCTGAAATCCACTGAAGAATCATTTGCAGAATCACCTTTTCAGTTATCACTAAACTATCAGTTGAGGATGATGATTGTAAGTTGACCCTGAACAAAATTAGAAAACATCTATAACTCGCCTCTTTCTTTTTGACTCTATAGAGAAGGAATTAGATTTCTGTGCCAGAGAAAAATGTGACAAGGTAGCCTTGGGGCCTTGATATATATTATTTGATGATAATAGGAATCACTATCCAGGATGTTCTATTTTAAAAATGACAGAGATGCCATTTTTAAAAAGAGAACCAGTAGCCCAAACATACTGGGATTATATGACTTGAATGTGAGACTGGTTATTCTCATGTGTGTCTCTTTTTAAGATTAAAAAAATAGCAAACATGAAATGCACAGAGCAAATTATGTTTTAGGTTCCACAGTTACCAGTGACTCCTCATTTTCATTCTAAAATGTGCACTATTCTATAGCTGTCCTGAAGGGAGAGATGGAAATGAACATCTTCGATGAGCAGGGCTCACTCATAGACGTAGTCTAGGATCATCTATCCTGGCTGACTACGGACACCCATAGTCTAGTCCTATGGCCACAATCCTCTGTGAAAGCAGCCACAGAGATGGATGGAGAGTCAGCTATGAGAGCAGGGCTGAAAGTGTCTCCTCCTGGAGTCCCCTGGGGTAAGCAGGCTTTCCTTGTTTGGAGTCCCTTATGTCTCACAGATAGATACCTCTGATTTTCTCCACAAATCTCCTGAAAGTGTCAGGGACATAACTGTGGTGACTGGGATGCACACAGTGATGCTATGGCAGGCCAAGCTGAAGGGAGAGCAAGCTGGATGCTGGGGCTGAAGACCAGGGGCTGCCACAGTGAGTGCTTAGATAAGTTGCTTGACCTCTCTGGACCTCAGCTTGTTATGCAGTTAGTGGGCCGACTCAATGTAATATCACACAACAGAGCATCTGACACATACTAGCATTGATGAAATATGCGGTTTAAAGTGAGAACAGGTTGCCAGGGTGACCATGAGAACCTCCTCACTTATAGGGTCTTCTATGGGGAATGACATGAATTCGGTTTCTCAGTGACTAGCAAAGAGAACCACAAAGGGAAGAAATGAAGAAGCCCACCTCCTGGTTCCCGTCCCTGGCCTCCCCTGAAGGGTATGGGGGTGGGCAGGGAGGAATCCTGGTGACAGAAGTGCGATGGAGCCACAGAAAGCGCAGGAGGCTGGAGAGAGAATGTGCTCGGTTGTGGACATGGAGGGGAAAATGGTCAGTATTCAGGGATAATTAAATGCATAGCCTTTGTTCCCATTTTCTGCCTTGATGAAAAGTTTGTGATATTTACAGAACTAAATGAAACTATAATTAGGTCTCACAGTGTAGCCAATCACTGTCCTGTACATTGTCGTTACATCTCAAGTGGTTTCCCCAATTTTAACTTGTCCTCTGGGATACAGTTCTATGAATGGGATGTGGGAGGAGTGGGGCCACAGCCACCACAGCCGCTCACCCTTCCTTGCTCCATACTGGTAGGTTTCCAGGGTGTGAGCTGTAGGAGACTGAAGAGGATTGTACTGTCAACCTTGGTAAAAATTGTGGGCATCTCATGAAAAGCTCTGGTTAGAACACAGCATTAGGATGGTTGTTAAGAAAAAACAGGCTAGTGTCCCAAGTTGAAAGAGATCTGGACATGGGCCTGGAGCCAGGGCGTAACTGTGCAAAGTGGAAAAGGAACCCCACTTTTCTGAGGTGATGCGGCTCCACGCCAAGCTGCAGGGCTTGGTGGTTGGTGAGTTGGCTTGACTGGGTCCCCTCACTGTCTCCTTCCCACCCCCAAATGGGCATAATCTGTACAGGGGTAAATGCTGGGCTAGAGGGAAGCCGCCCAGAGGAAGGTCCCTGCCCCCTCTCTGGGGTCAACGGTGACACTTCCCATGGGTCCTGTGTTACCTATACAATGCCTGACCAGTCAGCGCTGGTCAGGCAGCTATTCTGCTTGTTGAAGTAGATTTTCTATGGGTGAAGCCTCTTTCACAGGCCCCATATACACTGTCCCTAAAAGAGGAGCACCCCAGGCTCTCTGTGTAAGTGCTGGTTAGCTCAGGTTAAAACACAGCAACTGCCCACCTTATACAGCTGGGCCAGTGTTGAAAGAAAGTAGTAGCAACCTCTCCCCATTTCAGAAAAAGGCAACGAAAATGTTCTCACGGTTGAAGTTTTCTCTGATAATGTTTTGTTTTGTTTTTTGAGTCTTGCTCTGTCACCCAGGCTGGAGTGCAGTGGCAGGATCTTGGCTCACTGCAGCCTCTGATTTCCAGGTCCAAGTGACTCTCCTGCCTCAGCTTCCTGAGTAGCTGGGATTGCAGGCACATGCCACCATAGCCTGGCTAATTTTTGTATTTTTAGTAGAAATGGGGTTTTGCCATGTTGGCCACGTTTGTTTCAAACTCCTGACCTCAAGTGATCCACCCACCTTGGTCTCTCAAAGTGCTGGGATTACAGGCATAAGCTGCTGTGCCCGGCCTCTCTAATAATGGTTTTTAAAGTTCCAGGCATTTGCTACAGTTTATTTACAGAGTGGGCACCAAATAACTATCTGAAGAACGGATGAATGTAAGAATGACTAAACAAAGAGATAAATAAATACTAGAAAGTCTTTCCGCTAATGGACAAAAAAAGTACGGAGTAAATGCTTACTTCTAAAAACTCTTGGAAACAGTCAATTGCCCTCATTTTAAAAGTTTTTTTTTTTTCTTGAAAAATTTGGAGACATTCCTGTTTGCTTATGATCGTAACTTTAAAAATCACATACATAAAATGGTTACATTTTCTCCTAGCAAAAGTGTTCCCAGTTCATATGAGAAAATTAGTTCTATTGGGGCTTGTTGATATTCTGCAAAAGCTGCAGGACTTTTTCCACGTGATAATACCACAGAAGTGCTGGCTCCTGAGCTGCTTTAGAATGGGGGGTACTGAGAAGAGGTCATTAGAGGAACATGTGAGTGCCTCCTTTCTCTCCCAAGCCTTAAACCAGGCTCCCCAAGATGGTTCTTCCTGGCAGGAGGAAGGTTCCGTTCCACAGGGAATGCTGCATACACTCAACACCTGGCGACCAGAGTTTCAAGAGATCCCATGCCACCTGGCGAGGGACACACTCTGCCCTAAGTAACCACCAGGCATTGATGAGACTATGGAGGAGAAAGGGAGCATTTACCAATAGCTACTAGATCTGGACAAGGGCCACACATTCTCACAAACATTGCTACAGATGTGAATCCCCACAATGCTGTGTTTTAGGAGGAGCAGTATAATCATAGTGTATTCATTTTGCAAAGGGAATACTGAAGTTCAGAAGAGTGTGTGTGTGTGTGTATGTGTGTGTATGCGTGTGTATGTGTGTATGTGTGTGTATGTGTGTGTGTATGTGTGTGTGTGTGTGTGAGAGAGAGAGAGAGAGAGAGAGAGAACAAGCAACGCATGGGAAGGCAGAGAAAAATTCTGGGTCTGATTGTAATAAAATTTTCTTTTCTTGTCAAAATATTTTGATAGCATGGGGAAAGAGACGTGTGCTCATTAAAGTTTAATGACTGCCTCTTTCTGCCTGTTTCCATGTGAGGATCCCACACTGTGACTCGCATATGGTGGGTGTTGGGAATGGTTGATTGGGAGCACTGTTGAGCCCAATCTCCATCTTTATCACCACAGGGACCAGTGAAATCCATGACTGGGTCCATTGGGATGCAAGAACAGGAAGCCACTGGCCTGCTTTGGTTGACAGTGACTTGGATTCAGACAGGTGAGACAAATATTGTTCCAGATTCGCCCAGATTTGCTCTAAAAGGGAATCAGGTAAGAATAGCTGGAAACTAGGTAGGAAACTTCAGTTTCTGGGCTGAGCTGGGTACTGCCTGGAGAAGACAATGCTTTGGGCAAAACCTTTGAAGAGCAGGGAGGAAGAAAAAGCAGCTCCAACTTGTGGGAAAGCAGAGTTGACAATCATGTTACATTACTACTCTAGAAACTTCTTTGAAGCCTCTTTGTCCACAGAGTCGATGATAAAGCTCTCATTGTAGATCCCCTTCAACATAGCCTCAACCTATCTTTCCCAGGTTATCCTTACTCATCCCAGCTTCCAGCCTCCACTCCAGCTAAACTATACTTCTCGTTGCTCTACCTACTGTCATCCATCTCCCTGCTAGCCCTTGCTAACATTTTTTCCTAGTATCTGGAGTTGTCTTTCCATCCAAGTCTACTGGTTGAACGTTATCTGTTTATTGGGGACCATCTATCTTCCTATAGCCTTAATTCTTGATGTCCCACACCACTCAAGCATGTGCGATCTCTTTTCTTTTGAACACAAAACCCTCTGTGAAGTCAATGACCACCTCTTTTTTCTATGACAGTTCTACTGTAGCCTAGCAACTGCCAGCACAGACTTTTGAGTCAGGAAGACCTGGGCCAGAGTGCCTTTCCTTCCTTCACTAGGCACTTGATCATGGGCAAGTTATTAATAAGCAACAATAATGGCAATAATAGCACCAACTAACATATCCTAGGTGTGCGCTGTGACTCAGGCATCCACTGACTGATCAAATACTCACAGGAACCCCAGAAGGTGAGTTACGATGGCCTTTGACTCACAGATGAGAACGCAGAAGCCAAGAGAGGTGAAATGATCTGTCCAGGCTTACACAGTTACGATGTTCAGAAAACTGGCTTCAAACTCAGATAGTTGGTTCCAGAGCCCATGCTCTGACCACTGTGCTACAAGGCACTACCTTCTCTGGTCCCGTCAGTTTTCTAGTCTGTAAAACAGGGGTTATAGTAACGTCCTCCTTGTAGGATGGTATAGAGGGTTAAATAAGATGAGAGAAGAGAGGTGTTTAATAATGTAGTGCTTAATAAATCATAGCTGCTGTCATCATAATCACCAGGGGCTGGTCCCAACCCTTCCTTTGACTGAGCTGAGCAGGAAGGGTTGTTGTCTCCTCTCTGTCTCTCACATAATTCCCCCCTGTGCCTGGCGCATTTGCCCACAGCAACCTTGAGGCTCAGTCAGCAGCATGCCCACCGAGGCTCAAAGAGATTGAAAGAGGGTATAGCATTTTCCTAGAATTTAGAGACACGTGTGCTAGGTAATTCCGGACCTCTGGGCCATTGTGGTTTGGTACTTTTACTGCATTTAGCTCCCTTTCCAAGTCCTAGATTTTTTTTACTTTTATTTTGAGTTCAGGGGTACGTGTGCAGGTTTGTTACATAGGTAAAATCACGTCATTGGGGTTGTACAGATTGTTTTGTCACAAAGGTATTAGGCCTAGTACCCATGAGTTATTTTTCCTGGCCCTCTCGGTCCTCCCACCCTCCACCCTCCAATAGGTCCCTGTGTGTGCTCTTTCCCTCTGTGTATCCATGTGTTCCCATCTTTTAGCTCCCACTTACAGTGAGAACATGCAGTATTCGCTTTTCTTTTTCTATGTTAGTTTGCGAAGATATTGGCCTCTGGCTCCATTCATGTTCCTGCAAAGGACATGATCTCATCCTTTCTTTATGGCTGTGGCTGCATTGTATCCAGTCTACCACTGATGGGCATTTAGGTTCATTCCATGTGTTTGCTATTGTGAATAGTGCTGCAATAAGCATACATGTGCATGTGACTTTATGATACAATGATGTATAATCCTTTGGGTTTATACCCAGTAATGGGATTGCTGGGTCAAATGGTAGTTCTGTTTTTAGCTCTTTCAAGAATCATCACACTGTTTTCTACAATGGTTCGACTAATTTCACTCCCACCAACAGTGTGTAAGGGTTCCTTTTTCTCCACAACTTCACCAGTACCTGTTATTTTTTGACTTTTTAATTATAGCCATTCTGACTGTTATGAGGTGGTATCTCATGGTGGCTTTGATTTGCATTTCTCTGATGATTAGTGATGTCCCAGTATCCAGCATTTATAAAGAACTTGAACATGTTTACAAGAAAAAAGAAAAAACATTCAAAAGTAGGCAAGGGACATGAACATATATATGGCCAATAATCATATGAAAAAAAAAAGCTCATGGAGCATGGAGCCTATAATTCTTAACAAACTAACACAGGAACAGAAGACATAATACCACATGTTCTCACTTTTAAGTGGAAGCCAAATGATAATAACTTATGAACACACCGAAGGAAACAACAGACACTGGGGTCTACTTGAGTGGGGGAGGGTGGGAGGAGGGAGAGAAGCAGAAAAGGTAACTATTGGGAACTGGACTAATGAACTGGTCGTGTAATGAATGTATAACAAACCTGTGACACGTGTTTAGCCATGTCACAAACCTTCATGTGTGCCCCCAAACCTAAAGTGAAAATGCAAAGGAAAGAAGGAAGGAAGGAAGGAAGGAAGGAAGGAAGGAAGGAAGGAAAAAAAAGCAAACTTACACCGAGTTCTGCTTTATACAATGTATCTGACTCCTCTTCCCAGGTCTCCTTTGGAATATTTCCACTTGAATTTTTCTTATTACTCTCCTCTCCCCTTTTCCCTGTTCTCCACATTCTTTCTCCTTTGTTCCTCCTGTCCCTTCCTCCTCTCTTCTGTTCTCTCCTCTCCCCTCCTTGCCCTCCTCTTTTCTTTCCTCTCTTTTTCTCCTTTTGCTCCTCTCATTTTCTCCTCTGTTCTCTCCTCTTCCCTCTGCTCCTCTCTCCTCTCCCTCTCCTCCTCTCCCTCTCCTCCTCTCCCTCCTCCCCTCCCCTGCTATGGCTTTGCATTTCACATCTCCAGGAGGCTGGGTGTCATCCCAGGTCCCCAGTCCACAGACAGAGCTTCTGCTTCCAGGGCCTCTCACCCAGTCTCTCATTCATGGCTCCTGGGTGGTCCCTAGGTGTAAGTCCTTTACTCAGGAGCACTTCTACCCCATTTGGATTTAGGTTACCCTTGGAGTTAATGGGGCTAATGGTTAAGGAACAGTTTATGGGATGATCTCTCATTCCACCTTTTTGAACAAAGTTGGCATGGATACAAGCCAGAATTTCCGTCTCTCTCATAATCTCTTCCCCAGCAAATGTCCCTACCTCTACATAAGTTTCCTCCAGGAACGGCACCTCTGGTTTCTTTGTGGAAGGAAACACAAAATAACTCTCCATTTAAAGTACTCTCTCCATGCCTATGCCTGCTAACTTGCGGAATAAGGTATTCTGATTCCATCCCTGGGGAATTAAGCTGTTCTTTAAGTAAACCCAGAAGATAACTAACAAATAATCCTTCAAATTAATACTGCCTAAAAGATGAAAGTTTCCTTCGTACATCAAGTTTATTATCAGTGGTGCAATTAAACTCTATTTTCTGCTGTGGTTTGAGCACTTCACAGCTTGGGAAGGCTCTCTCCTGAGACCTTTGCAGGGGCAGGCCATCACTTCATAATTAGGTAAGCATGCAGCCCTTGCTGCTGGTAGGGAAGGTTCCGGGTTGAGCTCGTAAGTGAAACCTACTCAATGGCCCACAAAGGTAGGAAACGCTGCTTCCCCCGAGCAGCTGGGACAGGCCCGCAGCAGGGGCTGCCACATGTCTGTAGGAAGAGCCAGCTGTGAAGGACAGCTTCTGGGTTATGGCATCCTGTACCTTATGCTATTGACTTCACATTCTCATGGATGGTGGTATCTCAATTCCCACTCCTCCATTTTGAACTTGTTTCTGACATTGCCTGCCAACCCTGCTCATCCTCATTTTCATTCTTTCTTTTCAGGCGTCCTGTGCAGATAATGCCATGGTGGGCCTGTGGGCCACGACAGGGGCAAAGGAACCAAAGAGACATGACAATGCAGGCCTTCGTAGAAAAGAAGGGCCTGCTGTTCTCCCTGATGGGCACTACATGCCTGTGAGTTTGGGTGAACCTTGCCTTGGGGTAGCTCACTATGTCAGTCACATAGGACCAGACCATAGGAACAGCTGAAGGAGCTGGTTCTCAGCCCTGCCTATGCATCCAGCCTGCTGGAGTTGGGAGCCCAGCTCCACCGTTTGCTGGCTGTATGGCCTTGGAGGAGCTACAGAACCTTCCTGTGCTTCAGTTTTCTCATCTGTAAAGTGATGTTAGTACTGTTTACCTGTGGGATTGTTGGTGGTTGAAAATGCAGCAACATAAAGTGCTTTAAGAACAGTGTCTGGAGCCCAGTAAGTACCCAAGGAACACTGCCATTCTGAATGCTACACAGCAGTGATTCGCTTTCCAGATGACTCTCAGCAAAGGATTCATGAGAAGCAAGGCCTGCCCTCACCCTGGCCACCTCTAGGACCATTAAAATATGCTCGGCTTCATAAAACTTTGATTTATCTACCACTTTAGAGCAATGTAGTTTAGCAGAATCTGTGCTAATCACTCTTAATCACTTCAAGAAGATTGTTCTCCAGATACTAGACAAGGGCTCTAAGCCCTGGATAAGGGCTGCATGAGATGTCACTTCTCAGTATCCCTGCTGGAGGCCTGGTTTCCTGCTTCCAGAGCAGGAAGGTGTCTCATGGATGCAGCCATAGATGCCCCCAGAAGTTACAGCTGTGGGTCTGAGAAGTAAGAGTACACAGGCTTCCACATTTGTCTCCAACTCTCATCCACCCTCGACCTTCCTCTGCCAAGTCTCTTGAGCCATTTGGGAAGAGATTTCTGGTAATCACTGGAGAGACACCATGAAAACTACTGGTCAAACAGGAAAAATAAACCTATGGTGATAGAAATCAGAAAAGTTATTATCTTGGTGATGGTCCAGGGGGTTATTGGCTGGAAAAGGCACGAGGGAACTTTCTGGGGTGTTGAAAGCCCTTCATTTCTTCATCTGGCTTGTGGTTGCAAAGTACACACACATACAAAATACACATATTTTGATCTGTACAACCTACTGTCCACAATTATACCTCCATGAACAAAATACTGTCCAAAGTGTTGCAGGCAGTCCATCTATCTCTTACGGCATGCCTGACCCACTTTATTCTTGAGACACTGAAAATTCTAAGTATCTGTAGCCATTACACGTCTTCATCTTCCTCCACAAGTGTGTTTATACCCACAGCTTATATTTATATCTGCAGCCACATCTATATATTTAAATCTGGAGAGGAGAGAAAAGTGTTACATGTATGTTCTATATATAGGGCAGTTTACTTCTTTCAAAGAGCAGGAGGATCCTAGCACTGGTTTTTTTTTTTCTTAAGCAGGATGTTCATTCACACACACATACATGCATGCACACACATACAAGCACACATATCCACATTCATTCACGCATGCACACACACATGTACAAGCACACACATGCGCATGTGAACACTAAGGCTGGGTGACTTTCTCTCTTTTCTAAGTTGAGATGTCAAGACTGACCTTGATGATGACCTCAGGGATTATTAGCACGATGGACTTCTGCTTGACAAGAACATCTTTGGTCTCATTGACGCGAGCTGTGACGAAGAAGTGCAGGGACGCCTGTTCCAGCAGCTGACCCAGGTACTCGCCGGCTCGGATCTGCACCTCCTCTTTCTTGACTGGCAGGAGGAAACACACACAGACCTGGCATGGAGACTTGAGACAGGGTCTGCTTTACTTTTCCCCAAGTTTTCCCATCCTTCCCACATCAGCCTAGAAGCCACCAGGAGCACAGCAAGGTAAGGGGCAAGTGGAACAAGGAGTCAGCTGGGGATGAGCTGTCCTGCTTCTTTGGTAAAGAATGTGCTGGAAATTTAATATTCACTGAAGTCTTACTGGAGAAAATGTGGCAAACTTACCAAACAGTTCTTTTGCTGTGGTAAAAGAAATGACATGGAAAAGATGTAATTTTCATGGCAAAGAAACACAAAGGGTTTTTAACAGTGGCTTTGATTTGGGCTGGGATAATCCCCAAACGGAACATGTGGGGTGCAAATGGAACGTGAAATCCAAGGCCACAATTTCACACACAATCCCCTTGTCGAATAAGAAGTGTCTCACCTAGACCATGGGCCACACTAAGACAAAACTGTCAACTCCCTAAACGTTGTTTCTACAGCATTCCACATTTTCTCTCTAATCTGATATCATAATTTTTCTATTTGAGAAAGAAGCTGTTGAAACCAGTTTCTACCACAGGCATTCAACTATCTTCAAACCTCTGTTTGTGATTTAGAAGACCTCTGTCCCAAACAATTGTTTTCTCAATGGAAACCAGTCACTGATGTCAGATTTCTAGGTCCTGGGGACAAGCCAATGAGAATGGCATTTGGAGGATGGGGAGGGGCCCTGACTTTCCTCCAGTTACCATCTGGGCTGAAAATGGTGAGTTCTATCTCATGGCTCTGGTTTACTTTCTCTCAACTCCCGTTTCCCACAGTCCAGGATTCTAGAGAGCAATGGGCAGTTTTTCTGTACACTGAGCCCAGGTGTGTACCCGCTGCTACCTGGTTGGAGCCAGATGCCTGCATGTGCTGACAGCTGGCAGACCCAGCAGATGGCTGGGTGACTCATTCCTCCATCCCCAGCCACAGGGAACAGACTCTATGAACCTTCACAGAACTGAATGTCTGTACTGCTTTCCTTCTCAATGTCTGGCTTTTGCCGAAGACTTCTCCTTCCTGTGAAAGTTATTGAAGAAAACAGCTTCATGGCCAACAGTCTGAGTGCAGAGGGTAATTCATGTTAGCCTGCTGTACTGAACAGCAGTTTTGTAGGAGGGTGGAGTGTCTGTGGATGTGCACACACCAGAGCAGAGGGCAGGGCCCCTCACTCCCCACTGCTCAAAGATGTGGGTTCACTGAGCCATGCCCATCATCTGTGGGAGGAACTCACACACCTGCGCTGGATCTGCAGCAATTTGCCCTGGGCCTCGAAGACCAAGAGTCTTGGAAGGCCTCTGCCTTGGCAGTACTTCTATTTGGAAGTCTGTTTACAGATATATAATGCTGTGCCTGCTTCCAAGCCTTCTGACTGAAGACTTCTCAGTCTTGGGTCCATATCACAATCACCTGGGGACCTTTAGAAACCTGCCATGCTGGATTTCATTCCAGGCCAATTAAATCAGAGCCTTGGAGGATCCAGACATCTGTATTTTTAAAAGCCCTGCGGCTGACTCTGATGCGCAGCCAGGGTTGAGAAGGCCCACTCTGACAACCAGGGGCATCCCTGCAGAATCAGCCCTGCAGAAAGCCTGGGTTCCAGTGGGAGGGATGGCTTTCCAGGCTAGGTCCTTGTCGTTCCTCCTATGGTCTGAAGACCAGCAGCACCACCATCATCTGGAGCTTGTTACACATGCAGGTTCTCTGACTCCTCACTGCACCACTGAAGTCAGGAACTGCTTTGAATAAGATTCCAGACAATGCCTATTCAAGTGTGAGATGCTCTGAGAGACAGAGGTTCTACCAGCAGAAGGGGTAAGTTAGTGCAGAAGTAGGGTGGACTGAGGACTGCCTGGGTTTTAAATTGAATGGCCTGCCTTCTGGGAACCCCATCAATCCCTGGAAAACTCAAAAGGTTGGTCATCCTAAACTAGTAGTTGTTAATAGGGGGCACTGTCACCCCCAGGGTACATATTGCAATGTCTGGAGACCTTTTTGATTGTCACAACCGGGGTGGAGGTAGGTTACTACTGGGATCTGGTGGATAGGGGCCAAAAATGCTGCTAAATAGCCCATGATGCACAGGATAGTACCACACCAAAGTATCCAGCCCACAATGTCAATGTTGCTGCACTAGGGCAGGTGGATTATTAGAATGTATTGGTCTATTTTAGTCAAGTATTAAAGAGCTAGCTTTGTTGGCTTGGGGCAGTGCTATTCCATTTAGATCTGGCTCTTTAAAGCTATGACCTTGCCTTGACCTTGGCCCCCAGGTATTGCCTTGACCTTGGCCCCCAGGTCGTGCCTTCTGGAATGACCCACTCCTGTTGCCTTTTTGGACCTAGGCCTGGACCTTGCTTCCTCCATGGCTCCCATTGCAACTAATTGTCCAGATGAGTGAGGTTCTGGCCCTGTATTGCTGACGGCCTCAGATGAGCACAAACAGTCAGTTTGTCATGTCTCCAGACAGGATGGAGGAAGTGGCAAAGTGGAAGGCCTCGAAGAACATGGATTTTGCCTCCAGCTTCCTCTAACAATAATTTAAAAAACCAGCTTCCTGTGACTATTTCTAGAGGACTGTGTTTGACCACTGGATTTATTTTGGCTACTGGAATATGACTGCTTTACAGAGGCTCCTGCTACCTTTATAAGCTCGGTATCAGGACCCCTTTCTTCTCTGAGGTAGAACACTCCCTAAACCATGGCACCAAAGAAACCAGGCTGTGCTTCAGAGCCCAAGAGAACAGTGCTTCTGAAATAGTATGTTATGTAAGTGCTGTGTTTTGCCACTGCACAAGAAATTGTTCTAGATAAAGTTTATTAAACGTGGCAAGAGAAGGAGGAATAGATTTTCACTCTGTGAGTGGTGGGGCTGGGATGCTGCCAATATCATTTACGGTATCTGGGGAAAGCCAAGGGAGACACAGACTGGAGCTGCCTCATCTCTTTTCCAAAAAGCAAAGAAAACTAAATATAGCCAAGTGGAAATGATAGCACCTTTGAAGGTACTGAGAGGTTTAAGTTATTCAGATCTCCCAAGCTGATTCTAGCACACGCATTCCCTTTAATCATCAATCTGGAAAGTATGCCTCCCATTCTACTTGGAAAACTTTCTTTGCAACAGAGGTGTCTAAGAATGCTTGATCAAGGCCTAAATTTATGTGGCTTTTTGCAATATACCACAATTTATTTTAGATTTCAATTTTCAATTTATTGCATGCAGTGAATGCAACCTGCTCGCAGGGCAAAGGAACAAAGAGTCTCCAGTTCCCTTCAAGTTATTCAGGACAAGCTGGGGCTGGCCAAGTGAGTGGGAGATGTGTTCCTATTGACTCAGGCGTAGGTTCAGTCAGCTGTCCCTAGATCAGTGACCGAGAGAATGGTATCATTCTACTCACCCATACAAGCTCATTCTTTAATTGGATTAGAGAGGGAAGGGGAAGGAGATTATGAGACAGGACTCTGGTGAGGTGGGAAAAGGGCTGGAATTTGGTTCTTTGTCTAAGAATCTCTGCTGGACTCCAGGTAATGGGGGCACAAGGAAGGGAACTGGCCCAGTTGGGGCCAAGTTTACACTGAACTGGCTCTCTGTCACTGCTATTATCTATTACCTCATTGAGCACACAGATTGCCTCTCATTGCTGTGTTGGGTCTTGAACACATCTACTCATCTTTCTAGCTTCAGTTTCCCCAAATGCAAACATGTTGGAAGTCACCATTTACTGAGAGTCTACCATGTGCCAAACACTTCACACGTATCACTCATTTGGTTTCCTCCACACCTTCCTTCTCTCACACCACATGTCCAATCTATCAGCCAATCAGGTGAGCTCGACCTTCAGCACATGCTCAGATCGGGCTAGTTCTTGCTGCTTCCATCACTATTATTAGCACCTCTCAGTGGAGTGATTGCAGAAGCATCCTAGGCTTCGGCCCTGCTTCATCTTTAATCTCTTCTCAATAGAGCAGCCAGTGATCTTATCAAAACCTAAATTAGATTATGCCACATTTCTGCTCAGACCTCTCTAAAGGCTCCTCTACTCAAAATAAAAACCAAAGGCCTCATAAAGGCTGACAATTCTTTATATGCCCTGTACCCAGCACTGCCCTCTTGCCACCTTTGATCCTGATTCTGGCTACTTGCTGCCCATTGAACACATCAGACATGCTCTGGCCCCAGGGCCCTTGCACGTACAGTTTCTTCTGGCTGGAATGCTCACTTTTGACCTTCACTCAGGTCTCTGGTAAATGTCTCCTATTAGAGAGGTGTTGTTTTCTGAGCACCTCCACAAGAATTCCCTGTTCTCCTTAACCTGCTTTACGTTTTTCTATTACCCATATGACTACACTATAGATTCACGTGTTTGTTTGCTTATGTATGGTTCCCCCTGAGATCAGAAATTCACTAAGGATAGGCATTGCTGTGTCTCCAGCATAAAATGGAACCTGTACTTGCAAGCACTAAATAAAGTGTTAGGAAATGAATCAAAGGCCCTGTGGTGCACATGGTATTGTTCCCCCTTGCAGACGAGGAGACAGTGATCAGAGTGCTTAAGTACCCTGCACAGGAGACACAGAGGTAGGTGACATAGTCATTGCTTACACCCAGAGTTCTCTATTTGCAAAACTCTCTGAAATCAAATGTGGCTGCCTGTCTTAAACAATCTTGATGACTGTTGTCTTCCTCAGTCCCTTATACTGACTATTCTTTTCTACAAAAATCATCTTTACTTCTCACAATTCATGGAGCTCTAGGCTTTTAAAATTTCAGTGTTCACTTCTGTGTATGAGATGTGAAGATGAAAGTGAAGGCTTTTGGGCTGGGTGTGGTGGCTCATGCCTGTAATTCCAGCACTTTGGGAGGCCGAAGTGGGCAGATTACCTGAGGTCAGGAGTTTGAGATCAGCCTGGCCAACATAGTGAAACCCCGTCTCTACAAAAAATACAAAAATTAGCTGGGCATGGTGGCATGTGCCTGTAATCCCAGCTACTTGGGAGTCTGAAGCAGGAGAATTAATTGAACCCAGGAGGCAGAGGGACCAGCCTGGGTGTCAGAGCATGATTCCATCTCAAGAAGAAGAAGAAGGAGAATGAAAAGGAGAAGGAGAAGGAGAAGGAGAAGAGGGAGGAGGAGGAGAAGGAGGAGGAGGAGAAGCAGGAAGAGGAAGAGGAGGAGGAGGAGAAGAAGGAGGAGGAGGAGGAGAAGGAGGAGGAGGAGGAGGAGGAGGAGGAGGAAGAGGAGAAGAAAGTGGAGGCTTTTGCAGAATAAGTGAGTTCTCCCTGTGAGGCTCACACTTCTGAGGTCCTGGGGAGAACTTTAACTTTGACATTAAGCTATAATGGGCATGAACACGTAGCAAGACAGGGACCAGACAGCAAGTCTAAGAGAGAACCACACTGCTGTTAGCTTACCGGACAAGGGCTCCAGCATCAAACTGAACGTCTCCTTCTTGAATTCTGCCTTTGAGACCCCGGTGTAGAAGATAATGTTGGCTGAGAGATAAGCTGTGGTGGTGTAACGCCTGTGGCTTTTGTTCTGAAAGGTGATGGTAAGTTTCAAGTCTTGTCCCAGCACGGCATTTTCCACTTCAAAGTCCATGTCAACATTGGACCTCGATTTGATGAGACCTTCTGTGTTGAAGGGCTTTTTAACTCCGTACATCAGGGCAGTTTCTAGGGCCAGTCTCTCTTCTTTTTGACCTGGGGGAGATCCAGAGATAATGACAGGGAAAAATACAATCCACCAGAGAGAAAGTCACATTAAAGGATGCACTGTATACTGCACTTGTTGGGGTGTTTCTATAATACAAGCTTCAGACCTCCCCAGGAAGCAGGTACTCTCATGATTCCTATGTTATACATTCTGCGAAGTCAGATTCCCAGAGAGTCAGTGAACAGCCTAGGCTGTGAGTTAGCAGGTGACAGTGTTGGGACCTACTTAGAAAGGGGTTTCTCCGGAGGCACTGTTTTAGGGGTTGGTAGATAAAATTCACCATGTCTGTCTCTTCTTAAACTGTGGTGTTGGTTTGCTTGCCTTCCTTAGTCCTAGCCATGTGGCTAGAATTTGGGGACCTCTAATAATTAGAAATTATTGCCTCTTGCCATTCTATCTCCTGATATGTAACTTTTCCCTCTGATTTGTAAATCCCCTCCAGTAAGACCTGTCTTCCTTATCTCTCCTTCCTCTTGGGCCTGTTCCACTTGCTCTTTGCTGAGCTGACCCTGGAGGGCTCCTGCTTCATTCTTCCCTACTTTCCTCAGTTGCCATTGCCCCCAATGCCCATGCCATGGCAGAAGGTAGAAATCACTTTTTACCAAACGTTGCATCCCCCAGTCCCCATGGACACTGGGCTCTGGTAAGACATTAAAAAGCCAACTCTACCCCAGGTGCTCAGGTCAGATCCCATGGAGGGGCACTAGTGGTCCAGCGTCTCCTGGGGATGTTCTCCACCTTCATTAGGGGATTAGAGATTCTAAGTGAAGCCCAGGAGCAAAGGCACATCTTTGCTTTTCTTCACACAAGGCCTCCCGAACTCATCTGACCCTGAGTGCAGTCTTGTGAGGGACATCTGTTGACATGCGGTGGTGCACCAAAGTTCTAATGAAGTTTGAGGTGTATGTGCTGTTTTTTAGGAAAATGTTTTGTGCAGAGTTTCCAAAGTGGCTGTGTCAGAGATGAAGGAAGACGAAGGTGAGCTCTGGAAGAAGAAAAACATAGCTTTGTCCAGGTGAGGAGGCAGAAAATACAGACACAAGGCAGGCCTCAGAGGGAGCTTGTGCCTCAGACACTGAGGAGCTGGGAGGATGGTCCTTACAGAGCCTTGGACAAAATGCTTGGCTTTGGAAACAGGGCTTGTCAGATGTGAGGGACGGTTGGTGGTCGCCATCCTCTTTTCCATCCTAAATACCTTTGGGTTTATCTTCATGCATCCCTAAGGATAGAGATGAAAAGAAGGAGGCAGATTCCTTGGCTTGTAAGAACTAGGCTTGAGAATGGCTAGTGAAAAAAATCACGTTAAAATAAGAATGCTAGCTTTTATAATTATGCTAATTTGAAGGTATTGTCTTCTACTTGATCCAGTTAATAACGAAATTCACTGATGACTGAGAGGTCAATGAATCATAATAAGTGCTAGATGTGTGCCAGGCACTGGGAGAAGTGCTTACTGTGCATTGTGTCATTTAATCCTCCTAGCAACTCTACAAGACAGGCACTATTATCACCGTCACTTTCCTTGTTTGTAAAATATGGGTGTCTACGTCCTAGGTTTCGTTAGGTGAATTAGAGGTACTAGCTACATAATAAATGGAAGCTACTCTGCAAAGACAGATAAAATGCCAGAAGGCATTGCATACAAATGTGAATGTGTATTTGTACGCGTTTGTGTATATGTGTGTGTATTAATGATTTCCCTGATTGTCAAGACTGCAAGAATGTGCCAGGAACAGTTGGTCTAGGACAAGCATCAGCTAGAGCACTAGAGATAACAAAAAGGGAAGGAGGGGTGAGGACAAGGGAAGCACAGAGAAATATTTTAGCAGAAATCATCTGGCCTATGGATCCATGAGAAAGAGAGCATTACTGATGATCACTTTGGATGGGGGCCAATTAGCACTGAGGCAAAATGCAGGAGGCAAATTCTAGCAGCAGGAACATCTCAGAGAGGAGCTGAGCTGGCCAAGGTGAGGGGAATGGGAGAAGAATGAGGCCAGCTATGAGCACCTTCACAGCCTGCCATGGATGGAGGAACCTGGAGCTTCCTTCTGGGGAAGTGCCGGCCTTTGTGAGCAGGGACTGCCAGGCAGAGACAGGCTGGGGCTGTTCCAGGAAGCGCAGGCTCAGAGAGGAGAAAACAGGGCTTTCCCAGAGACTGGCAGAATAATTCCTGTTTCTCTGCAGTTCTGCTCCGTGCTCTGGAGTCTTACATAATTCAGGGCCACGGGCAACATTTTAGTGCTAGGAGAGATTTATCTAAAGCCAGATTATATTTTCTGAGATTCTTCTGCAGCTTCTGAGTGCAAAGTCAAAAATATCTTTCCATTAAGTAGGATATAGCAAGAGTCTTTTTATGTTGGTCGAAGCATCTTCTCATTGTTCCGGCTTTAGCTCCACTGTCACCTCCCCTGTGCTCCCCCTCTTACCTTGTGTAATGTGACCCCAAACCCTAGTCCTCTTGGCTCTCCCTAACACATAGCTGGCTTTATTTCCTCTTCCTTGTCACAGTACTAGTTATTGTGAGACATTATCTTCCCTGCTGGAACACAAGCTCCGTGAGAACAGAGACGTGGTATGACTTGTCCACTTTTGCATCCCCAAGCCCTGAAAGCTAGCCTGGCACAGAGGATCTGAAGGATTGAGGTTTGGAGAAGCACATTGCTTTCAGCCAAAGACAAAACTTTCCTCTTCATAATAGGTACTAAATAGTCCAGTTTAGGACATTTTATGTTCAACTGAATAGTCCAGTATAGGACATTTTATATTCTCAGCCCAGCTGAGTGAGTGCCTCCTCGGTAACCATTCATTCAAATCATCTCATGCTTTGGAGACCCCATAGTGTTCCAAACACCGTGCTAGGCACTAGGCATAGAGCGGAGACACAGTCTTTCCCTCCCAGGTGCAGAAGGAACAAGTGACGAACAATCGCAGCACAGATGTGCTCACCACAGATGCTGGGACAGAGGTTGGCCTGCAGTGCCTGGGGACATGGTGGGGCAAGGGAGGCTTTTCGGAGGTTTTGGGAGTGAGGGCAAAGCCAGGGAGGTAGGTGAGGTGTTGGCTAGTTGGAGGAACTGCCAGCAGGTCCCTAGCCTCTGCATACAATACCTGTGGGGCATGCTCAGGAGGTGCATCGACCAGGTGCCAAAAAAACACTTAGCAAGAGGCTTTGTGAGTTAGGATTGGATGCCCTGGAGGCCACAGAGAGAGAGGAAGGCTTTTACGTAGTGCTGGAGCAGGCTCAGGTTTATATTTCAGATATTACTTTAGCAGCAAGGCAGGAGCTATACTGAGGGAGGGAGGGCCTGAGGAGGTACGGTGGAATTAGGAAGCTAGAGCAAGTATTTTTCCAGGAGAAAACTAATCATAGCCGAACTAATAGATGTATCATGGCAGGAATAATAAATTTAATAGCAATAGGAGAAACTTTTATTGGACACTTATTATGTGTCAGGCACTATATTAAGAGTTTTACACATCAGATAATGTTTCATTTTTAGGCTACCTAGCTGGAGGGGAGGGTATGCATTTGAGAATGATTTCAGAGGGGACATTTAGAGGATGTCTAAATGCTTGACTCATTACTAAGTAGCTGAATTTGTGGATGGTGGCTCTCTTCACCAGAGTAGGGGGAGTAAGAGAAACAGACCTGAGGTGAAGGAGGGAGGGAGAGGTGATATTTGGGAAGTTCCCGTGTCAGGTTCCTCGAGGACATTTAGGTAAAGTCCGGGTGGAGACAGACACGAGGTGATCAGTATATACATGAACATTAACACCAGCTACATGAGAAGAACATAAAGTGGGTGGGAATGAAGCCCAAGGATAGATGCCTAGAATTAAGTGGCATTTGAAGGCGGTGAAGAAAGGTGAAAAGCTTAGAGTCACAGAAAGAGGAAGAGAGCGTCAGGTAGCTGGGGATGGAACCAGGAGAAAGTAACATTGTAGAAACAAAAAGAAGAGAAAATTGCAAGGAAAGGGAGTGAGCAACAGCACCAGGAAGTGTAGGAAGGTCGAGTAAGCTGAAGTCTGCAAAACGTTTCTTCCCTGTGACAACTGGGTGGTCTTGGCAACCTTGAGAACAACTTCAAGGGTGTGCTGGTAGCAGAAATCAGGACGGAGTGCTGTGGGAGTGGAGAAGGAACACAGCAGGACGCAAGCCTAGGCAGCACTCCAGGACGGCAAGGAGGCGAGGAGGAAGAAAGAGTGGTGAGAAAGAGTTTTGTAAATTTTTTTTTTGACACAGCAGACATTTGAGCTTGCCTGAATGCTGATTGGAAGGAGAAAATAGAGAAGGAGAGATGGCAATACCAGTGACCCTGGGAGTGACTGATGGAGCAGAGAGGGAATGGGATCAAGACACCTTAATCAAAGAAGATATATTGCCACAGAAGAAGTCTTTGGAATTCTGGTTTTCAAAGTCTTATTGTTTCTTAATTGGATATTTTGAGAAAAGTTATAAAATTAATAATAACCTTTAATAAGTTGAAGTGAAAAATGATCTTTCCATGATTTAATTCATTAAAATAGTTAATTCCTAAATCTAGTAATGATTTGTTTCATGTGATTCTACTCATTTCCATATTTTGGTGTCTACACTCAGCATTTGTGGAGCAGGGAAATTGTGAGAGATTTAATGGTGAGAATCAGAGTGGTAAGCACCAAGCCACGGGCACAACGAGCCCTCACTGCAAGCCAGTGGCCAACAGTGGCAATCAATCCCTCTATCCCACTATATTCAGATGCAGTATTGGTGTTTTTCTCAAAACGACACTCTACTCAGTCATTTCCAAAGTTCCAGTTTGAAATGTGTGTGCCACCTTTGATTAAGAAACTAATTATCCACTTGGGGTCAAACTCCAGCCCAGAAGCAGGATGAGTTGTCTCTCACAACCATCTATGCGGATTTAGGGATTCTTCCAGTGGAACCAGATCCCCAGGCTTGCCTCTTTGCTAAACTCTAAACACCTGCACCTCAGAAGTCTTCCTCATGCAGTATGCACACATTTTGTTTTAATTCGGTATCCACCCCCAGCCAAGCCCCTGACTCCTCTTTCGTGGAGTTTTGGTCTTTCCTCTCGTGGCATCTGATTCTGTCCCATTCCTGAGTTGGCTGTCACTGTCACCTCCATGCTGACAGCTAACGGCAGCTGTGCTCAGCTCCAGGGTTTCCACGACACATCTGTCATGTAGACAGCTGGCTTCCTGCTGCCCCTCGCTGCCTGTGGGTACACCTTTTGTTCACCACTCTGTCTGGTCAGGACTTCTTCCAAATAGAAGAGTTCACACCACAATCCCTGCCTTGCTGCCTTTTCTTGGGGATCTCTTTCCCCAGCTTCATCTGACAATTCTTGTGTGTCCTTTGGGCTTAGTGAGCCCATCACTAACTTCCTCCAGGACGCCTTCCCCAACCGCCGATTCTCAGCTGGGAGCCCTTCTCTGTGCCTGGCAGCACCTGTGCACCCTGTGCTAGAGCAATTCTCACCCAGCACAGCGAAGGCTGCCTTCTGCTTCTCTCCCCGGCTGCATGGGAAGGCAGGGCTGTGCATGTGTCCAGCTCTGCACAGCGCTGGATGATGGTAGGTGGTAAGAGCCAGCTGTTGTGTGGATGAATGTATGAATGAGTGAATGCTGCAGCTAGCTTTTCTATGATCTTTCTTTTTTTGTGTTTTTGCTTATAACTCTATAGAAAGAGGGCATTGCTTGTTTGTTTTGTTTTATTTGCACTTACATTGTTTTAAATTTTCCTTTAAGCAAAAAGGCAAACGACAAAAAGAAATACCACCTTTGTATCTGTGTTGTGCAATGGATGATAATAAACAGAAGAGGAAAATGAAGCATTTCACAAATACAGTGAAAATTCACTGGTTCAGTTAATAAAAATTCTGACTTTCTGAGACGAGGCACAAGTGTTCTCAGTTCAGCAAGCTTCTTCTTTATAGTGCAAATTACTTTTGTAAATAAGAGCAGGGAGACTATCTAAAATATTTAAAACAAATTCTGCACTCCTTAGCACTTCATGGATTCAAATGAATATTTAGACATATGCTAATTACTTGTCATTTTTATCCATTCACTAAAATAAATACTCCTAAAAACCTCTGGCAGTGAATCGTTTGCAAACTATTCCATGTTCCCCATCAAGGCACCCAAGGTCCTCCACCTCCTGGCCACTGCTGGCCTCGGGCAGCTTTGTCCCCAGTCACCGGGCATTCTGAGCCTGTAGGATCCTAAACATACCTGGCTGCTTCACACCTTGTGACTTTGGTCTTGTTCCCACTGCCCGGAAACTTCTGCCCAGCTTCCTTTATCTGAGGTCCATGACTTCTCAAGTCTTTCCTGAATCAGTTGGATTAAATGTCCCTAATTTTTTGTTTCCAAAAACCCCTTGCACGATAACCCTTTCACTCAGACCAGGACAGGAACTGGGTCCTGCTCACTGCTGGGATCCCCAGCACCAAACCAGCTGCAGGCGTAGAGTGGACACTCAGCACTGATTGAGATCGAATTAAGCTCAGCAGTGCCATTTGAAGCATTCTATACAATAAAAGTTAACAAAACCCCACCATGACATTATTTTATGATCGGAACTGGCCTTTGACCTAATTGTCCTGAGTTAGAGAGATTGTATTGTCCTATTAATATTGTATCATCTATTTTATAGCTTTCTATGATAGTGTAACAGAACAATGTATGTGAAAATAATTGGTAAAGTACTAAGCAAACATGAAGTAGTTATTTAAATTTCTATTATTTAACTAGAATTACATTCTTTGTACAGTGTTTTAAAAATAGAATTATTTAAAATTAAGTTTCTCGTAAGCAAGAACATATTCTATATTCTGTTAAAATAGATATGACTTTAAACCAAATCATTTCACAAGCCACATGGATGAGAATTCTGCCCAAAGCAAGCTAGCAAAGAAAGCCACAAGGAAAAGCTGCATATGTTATGTGTTTTTCACGCATGAGAGTTTATACTTCTGCTGTTGCTACCAAATGCTGCACATGCCAGTGCTTTCTCTGGAACTCATCTCTGAGTGACAATGAATAAGTACTAAATGGACTTGGGCAAGTGAATCTTCATTCAGTGCTAGTAAATTACCTTCTTGGAATTTGTAACTATCAGTAATATCCTTCATGCCATCTCCTCCAATTTGTTTTGTCACAATTAATTTCCCAATGTGGGTGGTATCCACAGCTTCCACCACATGAGTGCCATCTTTCTTAGCTGTAATGTAAATGAGGTCGCTGTTGACCTGGAAACAGGAGAGGAGAGCATTAGCCATGACCACTGTCTGTTGCTGTTGAAGTCTTTAACTGTCCGTAGCACAGTCGTCTAGCGATCTCTGGAGCTGACATGCCCTCTTCTTAGATAACATTGGATTCATATCATAGGGAAAAATGGGTTTTGAAAATATTCTAAGGGGGAATATCTAGTTTATTTACTAGTACTTTAAATAAAGGTTATTTGAGGCTGGGCACAGTGGCTCATGCCTATAATCCCAGCACTTTGGGAGGCCAAGGTGGGTGGATCACGAGGTCAAGAGATCAAGCCCATCCTGGTTAACATGGTGAAACCCCATCTCTACTAAAAAATACAAAAATTAGCTGGGCATGGTGGCGTGCACCTGTAGTCCCAGCTACTCAGGAGGCTGAAGCAGGAGAATTGCCTGAACCCAGGAGGCAGAGGTTGCGGTGAGTCGACATCGCACCATTGTACTCCAGCCTGGGTAATGAGTGAAACTCTGTCTTGAAAAAAAAAAAAAAGGTTATTTGAGGTTGAGACAATAAGTTGTCTAAGCAGCAACATTTTTTTCTCTCCACTGTCTTCCTGACAAATCCTACCTCTCACAGGAGAGAAGACAACACCATGCCACCATGCCCATTGCTTGTTTCCCTGGACTTTTTTGGGCTAACAGTGGCTATATAACCTACTGCCAGGAGGAAGTCAGTGAGGTGGCGTCTGTGAAACACTTTTCCCCTTTGAAAAAGGAGAGAGGTACATGGATGAGTTTTGTCCTTCCCTTTCGGCTTTCAGGTGTTTTCTGGTAAAGCGAAGGGATGCTTGAAGCTGCTGTGGTTATCGTGAGACAGTGAACCGAAACACTGCCGACAATGAGAAGGTGGCAGAGTAGAAAGCTGAGAGGCGTTTGGAGATTGGGGGACTTAATGATGCTAAGCCAGCCTCAGGACCACCTACTTCGGGACTTCTTATATGAGAAAAACGAGTCCCTAACTGTTTCAACCACATTAGTTCTGCTACTCGAAGCCAAAAGTATTTAAATTGAACAATAATATTAGATGATCTAGGAGGAATTCAGGCTATTTTCTAGTGGTTCAGCAACTAAAATGTGCTATTTGTGGGACTCGGAAGTAGTGTCATGAGGCCACGCTGGCTGCCCCCAAGCTCTCCCAAGAGTCTGCTTTACCATTCTCCTTTCTAGAGACAATGACTAATGTGTGCCTGAAAGCTGACTGTACCGGAGTCCTTTATTACATATTTTACAATCCACTTTCTTGAGGGTTCCATTTATTAGCATGGCAGCAGGTACGAAGCATGAATTGTGCTGCTAATAGTCATTGATGTATTTACTAAATGTTTCCCAAGCTCCTTTCCAAGCCTCAGTGACCTAGTGTTTAAACAGGGTGATAAGAACTCCTTCTTCATGGGATGGTAGATAGAATTAACAGAAACAAATGCATGTATATTCCTTATCACAGTATCTGGCATAGAGTAAACGTTCAATAAATGTTATCAAAAATAATGCATTATTTCATAGTATTGCCAGATATTGTTCCAAGATTCAGAATCCTAGTGATGAGCAAAATAGATATGGTTACTTCCATTACAGAGTTTATGCTCTTGTAAGCATGATTCTGTGCATCAGAATCACCTGGTTTTTAAAAATTAGATGCCTGATTTTAAAAACATAGATGCACAAGAACAGAAAATGAAACACCGCATATTCTCACTCATAGGTGGGTGATGAAAAATGAGAACACATGGACACAGAGAGGGGAGTACTAAACACTGGGGTCTATTGGGGGGAAAAGGGGAGGGCCAGTGGGAGGGGGAGGTGGGGAGGGATAGCCTGGGGAGAAATGCCAAATGTGGGTGAAGGGGAGAAGAAAAGCAAAGCACACTGCCATGTGTGTACCTACGCAACTGTCTTGCATGCTCTGCTCATGTACCCCAAAACCTAAAATCCAATAAAAAATTAAAAAAAAAAAAGAAAACAAAAATAAAAACATAGATGCCTGATTAAGGAGGTGGGACTTTTTAAAAAATAGATGTCTGATTAAGGAGGTGGGACATAAATCACGTGGGACCCTAAATCCATTATATTTTACAGATAATTCTGTTGGACATTCAGGCTTGAGAAGCCCTGTGATACAGTACAGTAAGTACCTTGAAAGAGTAAGTACAAGATACTTTGGGAGCACATGGCTCATTGGGGTCAGGGGTTGGCTAGAAAGCAACAGCCAAGGTGAAACCTAGATGGCATTTGAGAGGAATGCTGGATTCACTGCAAGAAACCTGGGTTCTGATAGTGGGTGTGTCCTTGTAGAAAGTGCATGTTAATCTCTATGAACTTCAGTTCCTGATTCTATAAAATAAAAATGATTAAACTTGTTCTGTCAATTTTATGGGAGCATTTTAGGTTGGAGTGAGATAAGATCTATGTGATCATGACTTGTAAATTTCAAATTTGGGTAAAAATATAATAGACATCATTAGGTAATTATGAGGAAATTTGAAGATGTATCTCTAAGTTTTAAGGTTGAGGTTAAAGAGAGCAATTTTGCTTCTCACAAAATGTTCTGAGTGCACCTGAAGTCAGATTTCTACTGAGGAGACAGCCAGCATTTATGGCATACCCATAATGTTTCAGAGACTTTTTTTTTTTGAGACGGAGTTTTCGCTCTTGTTACCCAGGCTGGAGTGCAATGGCGCGATCTCGGCTCACCTCAACCTCCACCTCCTGGGTTCAGGCAATTCTCCTGCCTCAGCCTCCTGAGTAGCTGGGATTACAGGTATGTGCCACCATGCCCAACTAATTTTTTGTATTTTTAGTAGAGACGGGGTTTCACCATGTTGACCAGGATGGTCTCGATCTCTTGACCTTGTGATCCACCCGCCTCAGCCGACATTTTATAAAGGATTTAGTTTGAACCTCACAACAAGCCTGTGAAGTATGTACTGTAACCGTATTATACACGAGGGCACCAAGACTTAGAATGGAGAAGCAAAGTGTTTGGTTTCTTGGTTGGGGGCTGGTGGAGAAGAAACGCAAGCCCTGGGCCAGCCCATGGCCTGGCCCTTGGCCTTCATGGCACACTGACTCTTTCACACCACCCTGCAGGAGCATGAGCACCAGCTTGTGTGGTGAGATGGGTCCATGCTTGTGGCTCAGCTTTCTTAGGGTGATATATGGTGGCCCTCCTCCTCAGCAGAGTAACCAGAACTCGGTGGTGCTAGCTACCTGTTGTGAGAGACTGAAATGTGAAGTCAGGAATCAGGACAGGAGAGGACACAGCAGATACCTGTAGAATATTTGTCATTTTAGAAACTTTAAATGAACTGCCTGAGAATTCTGGCATTCCCTCTGGAGGAAGCCATGCCAGCACAAACAGTGACCTCCTCCACTTTCAAATTGTAGCAACAATAATGAAAACTATCTTCTTAATAACAATCCTTACAACAGCTTATGGTTTTCCAGGGACATAAGCTAAATATTAAAGTAGCTAAATCCTGGGCTCCTTTTGAATATGGCTTAAGAAATTTATGTAGGCTAAAATCTCAGGGCAGATCAATAGTATTGTCCTTTGTGGAGAGAGGAGACAAGAAATACCTGTGTGGGATGGATTTTGCATATGTGTGTTGGGGTGGAGCATGTAGGAAAACTATTCTTTCCCAGTAACATTAGCCAGCTTTCATTTTGGTTTCAGCCTGTAGTGTAATGGTTCTCTATTCTGGCTGCACTACAGAATCATCTAGGGGTTTAAAAAAGCATCAAATTATTGGCTCCACCCAAAATCAATCGACTCTGTATGGTAGAACAGTAGCTAAGTTCAGAGTGTATGGCAAGGAATATTGGACTTAGGCTATGTGGCTTTGGATGAGTTACTGAATCTCTCTGAGCCTACCTTCCTTGCAGGGCTGGTGGATTGGCAGCACTTGTGAAAAGCCTACATTTAAGGCTAATTTCTCTTCCTTCTTTTGAATGTAATATAATGTTAGTGATCACCTATTCCTGTCCCTACACTTGAAGGGGCTATTGTCACACCAAACCTGGGCATTGGTGCATGAAATTGGGTATTCTTTTATTCTTTTCACAACACCACACTCTTGCCTCTCTAGTACAGGCACTTCCTATGTAGTAGCCTCTACCATCGGCCAGGGCCATAGATTCTCAGCAAAGGTAGGGTGAGCAGCAGGCTTGGGGTCTGCTCTCAGCAAATGTCCACTTGGGCCCATAGAGTATGAATATTTGTCCACAGGTGGCAGAAGACATGCTCTTCCCCACTGAGGATAGAGGTGTGCTCTTGCTTTCAGGACCCTGGACAGAGTTTGCTTTGCCTTGTTCATTTGTTCCCAAGTAGAAATAACCTCATTTTCATCCTCTGCAGAGAAAAGGCTGCTTCTCAGAGGGCGTATGGAGGCAGTGAATGCCCTCTTGGGTCAGGAGGCCTTCCTGATGCCAGACTCTAGACCCTGCTCTCAGCAATGAGAATACAATAGCCCCTACCTTCATGGAGTTCATATTCTAGAAGGGAGAAAAGGAATACCCACTAAGGCAGGAGGATGAAACAACAGGGCAGATGGTAGTATTTCAAGTGGAGGGGGGTTGGGTGAGTGAAGACCTCGTTGAAGAGGTGACCAGAGTGGAGCCTTGAGGTCAGAGAGGGAAGAAAGCATGCAAAGTGTTCTTCCTCCATAGAGTGAAAGATAGTGAGGGGAATTTTCCTAGCAAAAGAACAGTATGTCTGAAAGCGCTGAAACAAGAGCATGTGTGGATGCTTTCAGAAGAGCAAAAATCTCAGTATGGCTGGAGGGAAATAAGCAAGGGATCAAGTGGATGGGAAGCCATGGAATCTTGTAAGAATTTATGTTCAGTTTTATTATAAGGGTGGTGGAACTCCACCAGAAGGTTTGGAGCAAGAATGTGATGTTTTTATTTACATTTAAAGAATAATTCTGGTGATTCATAGAGAATAGACAGAAAAAGAGTAAAAGCAAGATCTGGGAGACAAGTTAGGAAATGACTTCATGGAACTCAGTGCTGTTCAGAGCTCAGAGGGTAACAACAAGATTGTAGAAATGGCTGGATTTATGATAATTTTTGGAAGGTATCTTTGGCAAATGAGTAAGGAATGACCAAGAAAGTCAGCATGCTGGGAGGCATAAGGTACGTTAAGAAGAAAAGCTAAAATAATCCCAAAGTTTTATATGCTATTTGAATAAATGACTGGATTTTTTACAGTCAAGTAAAAGATGACACAAATGGGCTGAGTCTGATAAGATAGTAGCAAAATAAACAAGTTTGAATTGAGAATGAATAATCTATAAGAAAACATCTGTACATGTTGTACACAGAGAACTTCCGGCCCACAGCTGAGGAAGGCTTAGCTTCTGGAGCAATGAGGTGGTTGCTAAAGTCCCAGGGAGTCAGTTATTGCTGCTGTGAAAATCATCTCAATGCCAAGGAGGTGCCAGCAGGCAGGATTGTGTGTGGGTGCATATGGGTGCATGCATGCATGTGTGTGTGTGCACAGGTGTGTGTGTATGTGTGTGAGTTTGGGGTGGAGTTGTATGATGAGGGTAACAAAGTTAATGAGAAGTTCATGAGAACCAGGGACAAAAGAGAGTTATCTTGGCCAAGAAGGAGACAGTTCTTCTCTAAGAACCCCTGAGGGCTTAGTGATCATGGGATCTTGGAATACGACTCCAGACACTTAGAGCAGCTCTACTCTCCTCTCACCTCTTTGGAAGCCCTAGGCCACCATGGCTTGGGGAGATAAAAGGCAGATGAGCCTTCAGAACTACAGGAACCCACTGCAGCAGTGAGGGCATGGCAAGGGAGGGGTAAGAGAAATAAGCTTCAAGCCCTGGCAGAAATCCAGAAATGTGGAGGGTGAACTTCCAAAGGGGAGGAGGAGAGAAAAAAGGAACAGAAGGTAAGACATTTTCCAGGCATATCCCTCTTCTTTTTAGGCTCTGTTTTCACTCACAGAGACTAATGCCCTGGGAAAACTAAAAAATAGTCAATGAACAGGATGCTTAATCAAGCCCGGAAATGAGTAAGGAATGACCAAGAAAGTCAGCATGCTGGGAGGCAAGAGAAGGCGAGCTGACGCAGCAAGGAGAGAGAGCAGAGAGAGCCGCAGACTCCAACCTGAGTCACGTCGACTCGTATGACAGTCTCCATGGGGTCCCAATGCAGGCACCCTTGAGAAAAGATTCCTCATAACACTTTTCATCAGCTCAAACATCTCTTAAAAATGGCTCAGCCCTGGAGTGCAGCCCATGCCAAAGCAACAAATTGTACCCTCTGTCAGACACGCCTCTGCAGTGGGTGAGAAAGGAGTAATTATAATCTGCAAATCCTGATGACATCCATAACACCCCGATCTATATTTAATAATAGCAAAAACTGTTTGCATTTACAGCTATTAGGCAGCTCAATTGTGGGGGGAGGTCCTTCTTCTCTCCTTCTTCACAGCAATAAAGCATAATGAAAAGATGAAAACGAGGCTTTGTGGGTTTAAAAATGATCTCCTTGTAAGAGGTTCTCTTAGTATCATAAACTATCAAATGGCAGCTGGGGAGGTTTGTGGAAATCTTCAAATCCCAAAGTGAAATTGAGGAGATAAAATTCCAAGTCCAGTAAGCTCAGCCTCCCAAGCCTTCTATAAGCCACTATGGCAGATACAATGAGAGCAACACTGGTCCTTTCATGGTTTCAAATTCCTGATCTTGCTGTCTAAATTTTGATGCTTATTTTGCCTTCTAAATATTAATATTTCTCAGTCCTGCCTCCTCTTTTCCTCATTATGGACATTTGTCTAGCTCGTGCCCTTTCCATCTCTGGCTTGGAGGGATGACCAGCCCTCTAGATGTTCCTCACAGCTTCGTGACAACCCCTCCAATCCATGTTCCACAATGCTGCCAGCACCCCGCCCAAGTCCACACCCAGTGTCCTTCACATATAGGAAGGACAAGGAGCGAGGTTCTTATGGTGTGAGGAACCCCACACTGAGTTCCTTTAGCCTCCACCTTCCAACACCCCGACGAATTCTTGGTGATCTACTGAATCTGCACAGCTCTATCTGCTTCCCCTGCACAGCATTCAGAGCTCAGATCATCCCCCTGTGTAGCACTCCTCCTTTCCTGTGGCTTGTTTCTAACCCTTTGCCTAATCATCCCTCCTTCCCATGTGGTCCCACAGTTCTCTGCTCCTGTCACCTGGGGATACTTCCACAGGCATCCTCACTGTCTGTTCCCAGGTCGCCCTTCCTTCCTAGACACTGTCTTGTGGTCTTTTCCATCCTGCTTCAGTTCTTGGCCTCTACTTCTCCACTCATGAACCCATATGAATGCAGATCTGTGTTCTATAAACCACCCACCTAACAACTAATTCCATAGCATCACTAGTATTGCTGTCACTTCATGTTTGGTGTGTTCATGCCGTCACACCAAATATGTGTGTATTAGAAATGTTTCTTAAAGAGTTGAACCTCAGAATTCCCCCAAGTACAGTGCCCGGTGTACATTAACAATAACTATTTATTCCTCCTAAAGTATAGAGTGCAGTGGTTACCCATACGCGTTCAGTTATCTGCCTGGCTTCAACTCTTAGCACTGCTATTTAGTAGTTAGATGATTGTGAGAGTCACTTAACCACTGTTTGCCTCAATTTTCTTTTCTGTAAAATGGGGACAATTATATTCTCAGTTTTAGAGGGTTGCTAAGGCAAAGTGAGCAACATTATTTCAGTGTGTTTATTGGCGCAAAAATACCCTGGGGAAATCCTGCCTCTCAGTCTTTCAAGCCTTCCAAGGCTGGCAGCCCAGCCTTCTCCTTTACCCAACATCTTTTACATTTAATTTGATCTTCAGAGCTCTCCTTAAGTATCCTTTACTAACCTCTTCTGCTTCCATCCCCTGCCTAGTTCCTCTGAAATTTCGGAGCCTTTGCCCAGGCATTCTCATCAACCCTGTAGTTGGGCTCCCTTAGAGCGGCCTCCAGGCTCCTCTTCCTCCTTTGGCAACTCAGCCTCCCTCCCTGGCCACAGGCAATGGTGTGAGATGGAGGGACATAGATTTCCAAGCCCAGGATAAGACCATGATTCAGTGTGTATATATGGATTTTGTCCTACATGGATTGATGGGTTAGTCCCAGAGGGAAGTTGCATGTTCTCAAATTTCAATTCATGACCCGCCTCTACCAATGGTTAGTTGAGTCATCCATTAGTCACATAATTTCTCTGGAATAGTTGATACCTACTTCATGCGTGTCAAGAACTAAGCTAATGTTAGTAAAGCATTTACTTTTGGGGGTAGGGAATCCCAAAACATCAAGGAAAGAAAAATGTTAAACAGGAACTGCATTTAGCATTAACAGCCTGGAAGTTGGAATGATGACTAGTTATCTTTGTCAACAGGAAGCATACACTATGTACCTGGAAAACTTAGAAGTAATAACTTTTAGTTTATTATTTCACGTGTTAAGAGATTGGGGAGGAAAACAGCACTTTCCTCCAGCTTCCCGCTTACCTCTGCAAAAACAAAGGGTGCATCAAATTGGAAGCAGACATGGCCATGCTTGATAGCTTGAACCGAGGCGGGGCCACACCGAAACATGCCTGCATCACACAGAGGAAAGGTGGCGTGAGTTTGTCATCTTCAGTTCTGTCCAGATACTGCAAGATTCATGGCACTGAGGGTGACTCTATAGAGACCAGTGTTCCCAGGTTCATTGCTGACTTAGCCCAAATGCTTTCCAAGGCTCAAGAGGCTTTTGTTGGCCATACCTCCTCAAGCCAAAAATTGAAGCCATGGATAAATAAAAGGCAACACTATTTCTGTATCTACTCTGCCACTTACAGACACATACCCAGATATGTTCCTGCCGAGCAGGTGTCTTACACAAGTATTTATCTCTTGTTCAGGTGGTATCTGAAATGTTGGAAATGTTGACATGTCCTCTGTCGTTGTGTTGCTGTTGCTGTTTGTTTTGCTTTTTGTCTTTTGTTTTTGGATATTATGAACTTATGTCAAGTTCAACAGGAGAATTTGGACATTACCTATGCATTTTGGCCATGCCCACCATGCATTTAGGAAGTCAGAAGGCCCCTGTTACTCTTCTAAAATATTTCAAATTTATTAACCACCTATCCATGGTTAATAAAAGATTAGCTGCCATTAGTCCCCTCTAAAGTGTTCCCATAATATATATACCAGAACACCAGAAAGTGCTAAACTTTCTTCCTTAAAACCTAGGGTTATAGTATGGTTCTATATTTATGAATATGCACTGAATGTTTATGCATGTGTCTGTGTGTACCCGTCAATTTATCAACACCTGAGGAAATAAACATAATATCCACAGTCTACTGATTCTTCATATTATCAAATTAAGGAGAGATAGAGGCTTATGATGGGATTTTATAAAAATCCAGAGGAGGTCAGAGCTGTAGCTGTTTAGCATAGTTGGCAAGTTAGAAGACAAATACCCACATACTCAAGCTTTGGAGGAAATCACACGACATAAAAGTAGGCCAGGTTCTGGAAAAACAACAATTTAAAGGATGATCTATAATTATGTTTCAAGTTCTCGATTTTCTCTACTGCCTTATATCTTATCAGTGCATACCATGAAGGGCTGAAGTATAGTTTATAGCCTAGTAAAAATGCTTACAGATATTTTCTCTCCTGTCTTCAAAACTGCTTAGCAAAGCAAGAATGGATGAATTATGTTGTTTTATATTCTTTTTCTAAAATTTGTAAAATAATCAGGGGAAAGCTGGCTATGGAAATGAAATTAAACCTTATTGGAAGGAAGCTAACACTGTGCATGCGCCCAGGAAGCACGCTTCAGATGTTGGCTCCCAACAGGCATGGTTCCCGCACATCAAATGCAAGCAACAAGCAAAACAAAGATCAGCAATGAAGCAATTTCCATGAGGGAGGACATGGTTTTACCATCGCTATTTTCCTGGGGGGTGCTGTCCACAGCTTGCCAGCCTCCAAATCCAACAGGAAGGTCAGGCCTTGTCATCCATGCTTCATTCCAGCAATGGTAGTTCCTTAGAAACACAAGCCCAGGGAGGTTAAATTTCCCTTCACGACCAATGCACCGAGAGATCAAGAAGTGATGCCAAATCCTGTGCATATGCCATCTACAGATAATTGGAATGGATTAAGCCAAATCTGGGGGCTCCTGGAAATATTCTAGGGCTCTAGACTTGAGTTATCTGGGCAGATTCATTTTTGTTGGTATCTCTGGGGGCACTCACATGGCTTGATGTCTCTCTCCCCCTGCTAAGAGCAGCTTCAAGGCCACCCAAAGATATTTGAATCAATGCATTAAACGATTTTAATCTTAACCATTCTCTGCTGACTATTGAAACAGAACTTACTATTACTGAAGGGGTAGGGAAGAAAAGTTAACCAAAATGGAAATATTTATTTTGAACTTTTTAATGTAATTCCCATTTAGAAAAAGCATTGTCCTTTGTGGCAATTAAACAATAAATACGTGTGTTTATGGCCTTAGACCACTGCCATAGAAACTATAACAATTATCACTGATTATAATTTTCTATAATTTTCATCTTGTGTCCAACAAGAAGAATAGGTTGTCAGGGTGAATATCTCTTTACCCTTTATTAAAGGTGGGAAACTCAGGAGCTAAGGGCCATGGAAAACTTCTTAGAACTTTGAATATGACCCTGGAAGCAAGAGCAATGAATAAAATGTCATCATGAATTGTATTATTATGTCCTTGGAAAGACCTGAAATTATATGACAGTACAGAATAAAATGAGAGCACATTAACCCCTCAGCACTATAGAAACTGTTCATATAGTAACAAAGATTTAATAATGCAGTGAGGTAGTTACTGCAGTCTTTGGTTATGGCACTGATGAATTTCAGGTTCAACTACCATGGGTCCCTTCCCTAGATGCCCTTCAATGTCAGTTGTTTGTCCATGCTCCCATCTTTCTCTGAGTGCAGCCCATTTCTGATTTGCTCGAGAGATATTAATTTCACTATGTACCCACTATGCATCAAGCACCTTGCTAGGTGCTGGAGATTCAAAGATGATCAAAACACAGATTCTTACACATAAAGTCCCTCACAATCTAGGAGAAATGACAAACCTGTACACCAATTATCAAAACTGTCATAGGTTTGCTGTGAGACTTAAATAAGTTAATACATGTATTTCAGACAGGAACTAGCATGTGTTAAGTGCTCAAAAATGGTAATACTCAGACTTCAAAAAATAATTAATTTGAATGATCCATGGTAAAATGGAAGTTCATTTGGGGTGCCATGGAATCTCAGTGGAGCAAGCTGTCAGGGTGTTTGGGAAGTGGTATTTGAGCTGAAGCTCAAAATATAAATGGGAGTTTAGGAGGTCAAAAAAAGGAGGAAGAACAAAGTTGCAGTGGCATGAAATAGCCACCATGGCATGTTTTGGGAACTGTCTGCTGTGTGTTGTGGCTGAAGCATAGCACATGTGAATATTCAGGTGCATAGGAGGAGAATAGTGATGGCAGGCAATGCATAGAGCCAACAAATACACGTAACACTTCCTTAGTGCCAAGTGCTGTTCAAAAATCCTCATGCATGTTAACACATCTGATGTCCTAGTACCCTATAAGAACCATCTATTCTTTGAAGATACACTAAAGGCTTTGGAAATTGAAGCTAATTCTAATAGTCTATAAATACCTGGATATAATATATGTTCTTCATTGCCAAGGCAAAGAAGAGGAGAAAATTCTTTATCTAACTCTAGAGCAAGAAAAAGATAAATCTCATTTCACAGACAAAGAGAAAAGACAGGAACGTGAGCTTATCGAGAGCACGCCCCTGTTGGAATGGTTTGCTAACAACTATAAAAACTTTGGAGCTACATTGGAAATTGTCACAGATAAATCACAAGAAGGGTCTCAGTTTGTGAAGGGATTTGACAGAATTGGAGGTATCCTGCCTTACTGAGTAGATTTTCAGGGAATGGAATACCAAGGAGGAGACGATGAATTTTTTGACTTTGATGACTGCTAGGTAGTCGACAGGGGTCCAGCAAAACGGGCCTCACCGTCCAGCATCCAACCCAAGGAGCATAGCATACCCACGATGGAATCCAAACAGATACCTGCCTTACGACTGGCACATTTCCCGAACTGAATCCATGAGCACTGGATACTGAAGAGAAAACTGAAGCAAAACCAGACCCAACCCTACACTTCTGTTTGTCATGGTGTTGGTGCAGCAGCCTCAGTGGAGCAAAGTGTCCAGCTATTTGGGAAGTGATATTTGAGCTGAGGCTCAAAAGATAAATGGGAGTTTAGGACTAAGTTCCTAAATGCCACTTTGGACTAATTTTTAAAAAGAATCCCAGTTTTTACTTTGACTTGATGGTGAAATTGGTTGCTCTTGTATTTTATGAAAAACAAAATGATCTTTTTAACCTTCATACATAGAATCAAAAATACTTTAACTGCTGTAAACATTTAAAAGTTAATAGAAACGAGATCATACTGGTTTGTTTCTTATATTGCTTGGAGAACAATTAAATTGCTGTATTTTGCAGTGACCCATTTACATGGCATTCTCAGCTTAGAATGCATAAGAAGAAATACATGTGGTGAAATGTTGCAACCACTTCTCTCTTGGTCTCTGTTTAATGTTGAAAGGGTGAGCTAATAGGAGGCAATTTCAACTTCACTCCCTCATGCTACCCATCCCTCCTGCTCCCCACCCCGCGCCAGACTGGCATTGCAAAATCAAACTGACTCATGAAGAATTTGGGCCAGTATACTGTTTACTTCCATCTGTTTGCAGACATATTTGTACCCAGATTTTGGGAACCCTTTGTATTGATGTTCTGACAAAGGTCCCTATAACCTTAACCCACTCAAAACCAGTTTGGGATGGATATGATGGGGCTTCTGTGCTCTTGCTGGGATTGGGAGAAATAAAACATGCAATTTAAGTGGAAATGAAGAAATTTAAAGAGGGTTTTATTTTGCTTGGGTCAATCCTTGTTAAAAGGGAGGTGGACATGTTTTCCTTGTGTTGGATGGCATGAGATCATGTGAATGTTTTGATTTATTAAAATGAACTGCAAGGTTTTTCACAGGAACAACAGACGTGTATGACTGCATGTAATTATAAACTGCTGACTTCTCGGTGGGGTTGGAGCATCCATTTCAAATGTGAGACTTAACCTCTCACATGAGAAATTAAGGACAGGTTGGAAGAGATGGGACACAGCTTCTGGCACCATGGACTTAAGACCATGTTGGATCCAAAAGTTGGCCTGAAACCCTAAAACTTATGCTTCACAGCTGGCCTATAAGTCAGACTTGAACCCTGCTGAACATGCAAGGTCATGGCGTGCCCGAGGTGGTGACAGTGAACAAAGTGCCCAGTGGTAGCAATGGAAGAAAGTATACCAAATGGACTTTGAAGGACCAAAGCTTTTAAAAGTCAACTGGTATCACCTCCACACTAACTAGGGTAGTGGGGTGCATTTGGTTTTCAAAGCGATTACTTAGAACACTTTCGTGTCTGACCACAGTCCTTTACTGACTTGATTCAGTCACTCGTGGCTTTATTGGGCTGAACCAGCTCCTTGTTCCCGGTTACAGACCTGCCTATTGTTCTAATAATCCTGTTTCACTTGAATGAAGGGAGTATGTCTTAAATGTAAAGTTTCTGGTTCTCACACTGTACTCTGAGGTCCGAATACTGCCTGTCAGTGTGTAACCTGATGTCTCAACCCCCAGTGAGAAGAGTCGATTCTTTGGTGTTCATCAATGTGGGAGACTTCACCAGAACAGGCTTTTTTTGCTTTGGGCTCTGCTATTTGTTTGCAGAACACCCAAGAGCAAGCAAACATGTTCTCTTCACATCAGTAGAGTTTTGCCACTGTAAATTAGTCTGATGTGATATGACAAGACCAGAGAAATTGGATGTAAATTTACATTTTTGAATATGCTTATTGTTTCACATGATACATTTAAAGTATATAGCTCCTTTTGTAGTTTTTATTTTTACTATTTAAGTTTGGAAATGGTGCCAAACTTTTGTATTTCTTTAATCAATGTGGTCTCTTCAGTGATATATATTGCAGTATATACTGAGGTGTGTATCAAATATCTTAATATTTATTACACTTACACATACAAATGCAAATAAGAGGGGGTGAAAACCATAGCTTTTGCAATCTCTATAGCCTCTACAGACAGATTCTAAACAGCAAAATCTTGGTGTTGTGATGTACAGAAATGGAGAAGAATATTAAACCATATTTAAGAAAAGACAAAACCATTCTATTATAATTATCCCCAGTTTATAGGGAAGTTGAAACCCGGGCAGGTTAAGAACCTTGCAGAGGTCACACAGCTAGTTAGTGATAGAGCTCTGAAAGCCATTCTCTTCAACACTGAGCTATGATATAGGTGAGGAGAAGATTGCAAAATCCTTTGATGTCAAATTAAACATTTGGGCTTTATTCTCAGGCAATAAAAAGCCATTGGAATGGTTTAAGAAGAAAAGGTAAACTTGTAAATCTCTGTTCATGAAGATGGATGGAAAGACAAGGATGGAGGTTCAACTGAGTCCTCCCTTGCTGTCCCCCACCCTTGAAGAACTGCAATAGTCTTCAGTGGACCAGAAAGGCATTCAGGTTGCCATCATCATGAAAAGGGAGAGGAGCTATTGGGAGGTACAACCCACAGGTTTAGGGAGATGTGAGGGACTTGGATGAGTTGGGGAAGACTTTTGCCTCTCCAAGGAGTGTGATGGTTTTGTTTACCAAGACTGTGAATAATAATGGAAGAAAAGAAAGTCTGTGTTGAGGCTGGTGGTGATGGGTGGGTGATCACCCAGTTCTGGACAGGATGAGCTTGAGTGCCTGTGAGAAATCCAGGAGGTGAGGTCTAAGAGGCATTTTTGTCTACACTTATGCTCTGGATTGGATGAAGAGGAGGAGGAAGTTGCAGAAGGATTGGTGGGTGGTGGACGAGGGTTGAGCAAAACCAGCTGACAAATGAATGAGGAGGGGAGA